CCAGATATCTTCTCTCATACAGTTGGCATCTGACTTCCAAAGTCTGCTTTTAAAATATCACTTCTGGCTGAATTTAGGTCTTTTCTTGGCCACCAACTTCTTGAAATCAACCGTGATGCATGTCTCAGTAAACTGCCCTCCTGAGCATGTGTCCCACCCATTGCAACCTCCATGTTCTGATTTAATCTACAATGCTTTCTCACAGGTTACATTTTAATCTTACAAACTTTCTTCTCCTATCCTGCCATGGTATTTCCAGTATCCTATTCACGCACAGATTCACGTATGCAAAGCATCGTGGATTCCATCCCAACCCTGATGCCTATACATTTGGAGTTTGCATGTTCTCCCCGTGGTCACGTGGATTTTTCTCCGGGGCCCTCCGATGTTTCCCTCCACATTTAAAAAGTTGCGTTTAGAGTATTTGGCTGCAACACATTTCCACGTGATGAGCCAATTCGTTCAGCTATCATTTGTGGCCAGGTCGCTACCTGCCCACAAATAATATTGTAACCATTATAAAACCAGGAGACGGAAAAAAAAACCCCACTGAGACTCACGAAACTGCGTTGCATACTTTGCAAGGGTGACCTGAATTCGTTTCACTTCACCGGTCAGTGGTAAAATAATTCTCACAACCCAAAGTTTAGCAATCAAGACACCAAAAATCGACTACGAATCATAACAGTGCCTACGATGACATACGTGTTAGTTCGTGAGCCCATACAGGGAAACGCATCTGCCCAAGAGCCGCGCTCCGCGTGCACGAAAGCAACAACGTTAGCTCGAGTCGTGGTGGGTGATACCGACAGCCTCCAGCTTTATACAAGCATCCGAATGTTAGGTGTATACTTTTTGAGAGATTTGGATCGGTCCACGAAAATACTTTCCGTTCGCCTCCTGCAACCGGACTTTGCCAGTGTAATGCACCCAGAGGAGACGCTCCAAGGAAAAAAAAAAACAATCTTCCTGTAGGCACTCCCTTACGAGTAGAGCATCGCCCAACAGACTGAACGATCACCCAAAAACTGGAAAATGTACGAATACAAATTGAAAAAAAAAAACCTCCCCAGCAGCATCTGTCCAAACACTCAGAGCCATTTGGTTTTTTTTGTTTTGTTCCAAACAAAACATCCGTCTTGAGCTAAGCAGGCCTATTAATCCATTGAAGGTGGTTGCACATGCATTCGGCCAAGGATGCACAACTGGCAGTGAGAGTAGTCGTGGAGCCAGATGTTGGGCAGTAAGAAAAGTGATGGATTAAGAGAGTGCGGGGCCTGTGGCTTATGTAATAAAGGGGCCCTAATTTTTTTTAAAAAAACGTTGATATTAAAACACACGCATTTTGAACTTGCATAGTAAAGTAATTGTATTTTTGCATTTGCTATACAGCCAGATAATACGACAAATCGCTACGCCTTAAACACCGAGTCGTTCATAAAAGTTGAAGGCGGTATAGTACTATAGTAATAAAGCAAGTGCATAATCACTGAACCGGAATTGATAGCTTGAAAACATTCAGCGCGGGGCCCTTGAAAGTGCGGGGCCCTTAGCCATATGTAGCTACTTTTGCTACTAGGATAATCCGGCACTGAGGAAGAAGGGATGCGGGGTGAGAAGGGCCATCGCATGAATCAGGCAAGCTTTACATTCGACCGTGTAAAAGTGAAAGGCGCAACACGAAAACATGCACACAAAACCACTGTTATTCTGTAAGCATACGCCTTGGGCCATTTGTTCTGCAGCGCTCTCTTAACGTGAGATTTTAAAGAGTCCTTCCGAGAATAATGCACACCACCATAGCGCCCTCTAGCGAACGCTCACCCGCGTTGGAATCCACTCACCGCCATTCACGAGGTGGAGGTGGGGAGAGGTGGGGGGCAGGTGGGGGGGGAGGTGGGGGTTGATACCCGTGACCCAGGCCACTTCATGATCACCACCACCACCAGCAGCCGTAACCAAGTCACTGCTGCATGAAGGCCTCCCCCCCAAAGCCTGTTGGCACTTCACGATGCGTGGTGCATTTTGCAAAGCCGCACGATTTTAGTCGATGGATCCTAGCGTACAAAGGGGGGAGGATTTGAAAACTGTAATGATTATCCATGAACCTGCAGCTGGGAGCTGCGATTTAACATGTGAATCAGCTGGCTTTGTATTCAGGGAAGCAGATTTTTATTTGGCGCATTGAATTGATCGATGTTGGTTTGATAATGTGGTAAATAAAGCAAGTGGTTGGGTTTTTCCTTTGAGACAGGATACTCCGCATGCACAATACATTCCCTCTGGGCAGTTCACATGCTCTGCAAAATCCCTTAGAAATGTTTGCTCGTGAGGTTTCTGCTGGTTGGCTCAGGGAGACAATACTGATGTCAGAGAACAGAACCAGCCGTGATGAGAATGCAGCTCTGTCTCCAGATTGATTTTCAAGGCAACGTTTCATATGTGGTCGCGTACTGCGTCACCCTGTTCAACAGTGGACATGTGGCAGTGATGTGGGAATTAATGAAGGGTAATGGTTAGCTATGGTTAGCGATGGTGAGCACCCTGGACTCGCGGCGTGGCAGATGAGATGATGGGCAAGTGAGTCGTGTGCAGTGGTGGGGTAAAGTGTGGGTACTCCCACATCGTCTAATATGTCTGGCCGGAATGGAAGAGTATGCCAAAGTACCCAGCATCTTGTCTGTTACATATGTTAAAAATAAAATAACAGTCAGTATGCACATATGAGAAAACACATTTTGCAGGTGTGATGTTTTTGATGAATAGTGCAGAAAATGCATTCGCACAGTCAAAATGTATCCCTTTATGAAGCAGCATTTTGGTAGGTGTTCATGGTGGTCCTGAGCTGGAGGTGGAAACGAGACATTCATATGGTGCTAGGTGGATCATTACATCGCAGGATTGTGAGAGGTGGGACACAGCTTGGAGGAGGCCTTCATCCAGCAGTAGATCGATCATGGCTGATGATGGTGACGATGATGATGATGATGATGACATGGAATACATCATGTATATTTCAGGCTGCGAGACTCCAGGTAAGAAAAACCCTCGTGTGCCTGCCAAATGAAGAGTAGGTATTGTTCACATGCGTTTGTGGCGCTAAAGCGGTGGTGGAAATGTCACATTTCCATGGCCAGCACCAGTCTCTCGACAGGACAACCCCCTGTCGAGCCTTTCCACAACGTGGTACAACGGTTCTCATCAACCCAAGCAGGGATGGGTGGATCTGCACCGTCCCTAAGAAAACCACCGTTGCCATACGGACGCAAAATAAGTGGCACGCTGCACAGGCGCGCGAGCGTGCTCAGAGATAGAACAAACTGCCCCCCATCTCAACGGCGCTGCCACGTGGGTTTGTGTGCCATGTGGATTTCCGTGGCGCGTTTGTTCCCGCGCCACGTGCATCCCCCTAGCATCTCGTGCCAACCGCGCTCGTGTCAGCGTCCGCATATGGTTGTGGTGCACCGCATCTCAACCGCGGTGCAGAGCGCCGTTCTCGCCGCCGCGGCACATGCAACAGCCTCGCTGGAGCGCAACAAAAACTGCGACGGCGGCGGCGGCGGCGCAGCAGCAGCGGCGGCGCCGTCGCGAGGGGCTTGCTAATGGCCCCGGATGCGCATCGGAGGATTCGTTCTCCCATCCCCCCACCCCCGTTAATTTGGTCCATTCACAACCGCTGCGTGCTTTGTCGTTGAAGCACTCGAGTTGACCTTCTCCTCGCACCCCGGTTTCTTCACGCTCTTTCCCCTTTCTCTACCTTCCTTCCCGCGTGACTCTTGCCTTTTCTACTTCCCGAGTTTCCAAGATCGCAGCCACGAGTGCCTGTTGTCGTGTCAGAACCGGAACGCGCGCTCGGGCTCTCTTCTGCCCTATGCACGTCGTCACTGTCGATGTCGTGCGTTCCCCGCGTCACCCCACGGACAGCGGCAAAACACGGATGATACGCCGGTTTCCAGCTCTCAATTGCTTCGCTCATTCTCCCCGTAAAACCTTGCCATCAGAGTCGCATCGCACGACAAAGGAACGCCCATTGAGAACCCTCGCAGCGGGCGGCGCATGGATCGTCACCGAGCGGCCAATCAGAGCAGGACAGTCACCTGCCGAGGTGTATTTGCTCAGCACACTGGACTTGCAATCCAGAGGTCCCCAGTCGGACCTCCTGGCTCGGCAGCTCCTTAATGATCCCCACCTCTGTCCGTCCAGCAGTATGAACGGCTTCCATCACGGTTAGACGATTGGCAGGTCAGGGGCCGTGCATAAATGACGTCACACGATTTTTGACCCCCCCCTCCCACCCCGCTTCGTCACACGGCGTCACAAAAAGTCAGACCCCCTCCTCAAATATGACGTCACAAAGCTTTGCCCCCCCCCTCCCCCCCCCAAAAAAATTAAAACATGCTTCAAATCGCTTTAAACTATTGTCATTGTAGTGCGTATTTAATGCGGCGCTGCACTCTGATGTTGTAGGAGAAAATATTAATTTAAAAGTCTATTTAATTAAGTAGAACTTGTTGTCTATATTCATTTAAAGTTGCGCATTTTGATGTGACGTCACATTTCTCAAACCCCCCCCCCCCTCTCGTCACCCCCCCCCCCGCCGCCAGGTGCGTGACGTCATTTATGGACGGCTTCTCACGTGTGGGGGCTGGGGAGTACACTCTGAAGGGGGCTCTCTTGAACGCTCCCTCTCATTTTGTTGCCAGCAGTGGCGTGACAAAGACATTGCAGGGCTGGGCCTTGACGTTTGTTTAAAAAAAAAACATTTGACGAGTTGATTCAAGGTGAAATGTCCATAATACATGGTTATGCGCACTTAAATCAAACAAAATCACTGTTTGGATAAATAGCCATGAGTTATATGGGGGTGTTTAAGAATAGATCCCAGTTGTTAAAGTTGTATGAGCTATTTAAATAGAAAAGGGTGCCTTTTAAACGCACCAACTGTGTATGTGCTAAGTGACTAAAGTGAAGCATTAACAACGACTTAATGCAAACATTACCTGGTATTTCTTCGAAGGTGGGTGAACTTGTGTCCAGACGTAGTCCATTAGACACCAAGCTACTTGCAAGGCAACAGCTTCTGGATGACAAACAGAAAAAAATACACTTGGAGGCATGCAGACAGACGGACAACAAAGTTACCTATGCACGTATAAATTGACACAGACCGAGAGCTCGACATCTAGAAAGACATGCAAGCAGGCAGACAGATAAGACAATTATAGTTCTGAACAGAGAGAGAGTTAGGTATCCAAACGCACATATTAGACAGTGAGGGAGGGAAGTAGACAAACAGAGATACGGATAAAGACAGGGAGCTAAACAACCAGAGAGCCCATCAGATGGACATACAGTCAGACAAATCTGATAGGCAGCCAGACAGACTAACAAACCGCCAGACAGACATACAGTCAGACAATCTGACAAATAGACAGACAGCCAGGCAGACTAACAAACAGCCAGACAATCTGATAGGCAGCCAGACAGACTAACAAACAGCTAGAGAATCTGGTAGACAGCCAGACAGACTAACAAACAGCTAGACAATCTGGTAGACAGCCAGACAGACTAACAAACCGCCAGACAGACATACAGTCAGACAATCTGACAGATAGACAGAGAGCCAGACAGACTAACGAACAGTCAGACAATCTGATAGGCAGCCAGACAGACTAACGAACAGCCAGACAATCTGATAGGCAGCCAGACAGACTAACAAACCGCCAGACAGACACACAGTCAGACAATCTGACAGAGAGACAGACAGCCAGACAGACTAACAAAGAGCCAGACAATCTGATAGGCAGCCAGACAGACTAACAAACCGCCAGACAGACATACAGTCAGACAATCTGACAGATAGACAGACAGCCAGACAGACTAACAAACAGCCAGACAATCTGATAGGCAGCCAGACAGACTAACAAACAGCTAGACAATCTGGTAGACAGCCAGACAGACTAACAAACAGCTAGACAATCTGGTAGACAGCCAGACAGACTAACACACCGCCAGACAGACACATAGTCAGACAATCTGACGGATAGACAGGCAGCCAGACAGACTATCAAACAACCAGACAATCTGATAGGCAGCCAGACAGACTAACACACCGCCAGACAGACACATAGTCAGACAATCTGACGGATAGACAGGCAGCCAGACAGACTATCAAACAGCCAGACAATCTGATAGGCAGCCAGACAGACTAACAAACCGCCAGACAGACAGACAGATGAGAAGCGTATGTGGTCAGACAGGGGACGGACAGAGAAGGGGTGAAGTAAGAGACATCAATAAAGCACGTGAGTACATGATTAGAGTCAGAGGGCCTTTGAATGGGTTGTGGTCCTCAAACCACTGTAAGCTGAGAAGTTAAAGGAAAAAACCCCTCCCTCTCAAAATCCTCGGAGGAATTTTCCAGTCAGCCGAGTGTTTGTAAACTGAAAGGAAGCCCTTAGGGAGGGACAGTTCTGCACGTGCAGACACTGGCAATACTAATACACAAGCACCGCTGAAAGTCAAAAAATCAGTTGGCTCACCTCATGGAAATGTGCCGATGCTGCTTAATTTCACCCGAGTCCCGTTTGATCGACTGCATGGGCTAGCTCAGTCAATGGAGCACAGAGCCCATCATCTCAAGAACTTGGGTTCAAATCCCAGTCAGAGTTAACTTTAACTCGCCACCCATACATGGATAGTGAAAGGAGCGCCGTTTGGTGGATAGTTAAAGCGTGTTTGTTCTATTTATAGACTCTCCTCCATCACAAGATTGTGGACTTTCCACCACTTGCTCAAGATTTATAAATGGATATGGGCCTTACCTGATGCATTCAAGTGTATAGCAAGACTCTGATACTAAACCTACCATATGTATCTCGAAATATATACTTCGATATGTACATTATGATACAATACATAGGCAAATCAATTGGGATACCTTCCCCTTTTCATAAACTAAGGACGTGCTCGCATACTGTTAAACGACCCTGTTCTGACACTCATTGAAAAAAAATAACGACTTCTTCGGCTCTCAATTGTACAGTAAAGCCCGTAATATTCGCTGGTTTCATAATTGCGTATTCGCGCTGTTTGAAATGTGTCGGGTTTGTGTATAAAAAATGAATGGCTGCCGTAGTGCGGCACTTGCTACCTGCCAAGAAGTAGCGAGGCCTGGTGGTGGCGTGGATGGTGAAAGCGACGTGGATGGTGAGGATGGTGTGGATGGTGAGAGTGGTGTGGATGGTGTGGATGGTGAGAGTGGTGTGGATGGTGAGAGTGGTGTGGATGGTGTGGATGGTGAGAGTGGTGTGGATGGGAAGAGTGGTGTGGATGGTGTGGATGGTGAGAGTGGTGTGGATGGGGAGAGTGGTGTGGATGGTGTGGATGGTGAGAGTGGTGAGAGTGGTGTGGATGGGGAGAGTGGTGTGAATGGTGTGGGTGGTGAGAGTGGTGTGGATAGTGAGAGTGGTGAGAGTGGTGAGGATGGTGTGGGTGGTGTGGATGGTGTGGATGGTGAGGGCGGTGTGGATGGTAAGAGTGGTGAGGATGGTGAGGATGGTGTGGATGGTGAGAGTGGTGAGAGCGGTGTGGATGGTGAGGATGATGAGAGTGGTGAGGATGTTGAGAGTGGTGTGGATGGTGAGAGTGGTGTGGATGGTGAGAGCGGTGTTGATGGTGAGAGTGGTGAGAGTGGTGTGGATGGTGAGAGCGGTGTGGATGGAGCGAGAGAGTTTCCTCCACGTGATGCTGCTCAGTCGGCGTCTGCGAGTGCTCTTCTTCACGATTGTTTAAAATTACGTTTTGTGTAATACTCACGTCCAAACTAATTAATTAATATTTGCACTTTTAATTACGTTTACGTTCAGAATTATTAAAGGTAAGTTCATTAACGCAATGATAGAATGGAAAGTGCGTATTCATTAATATAGACATACAGTTCATATGTTTGGATTTAAACGTGATCAATGTTTATGCCCCATAGCCCTGTTTTCCTCATAAAACTTTGAGTTTTAATATTTGCACATTTAATAATCGCGCCGTCCTCCAGGGACGTATCCCCGCCAATGTTCAGATTTGACCGAATCTCAACATTATGTGAAAGTGAATCGTTGCTCAAAGTTTAATTGGGTCAGCGGCTTATCCCTGCTGGTGGACCGCAGCCCGGTGGTGAACATTAAAAAAAAAATTGTCGTGGCAGGGAAACTCCTTTCTCCAAAAAAACTCACTTTCCACAAAGTTGCACTGGTTGTACGCACCGCCAGATAAATGACATGCATTGAGTTGACCCCTTGGCAGCGCTCGAATTAGGAACATTGCCACTGCGTGCTCCGGGCAAGACGAGCGAGGCCAGCGCACGAAATATATATTTAGCGCCCGTTTATATTGAAAGTGCTCGCACATCAGGACGCATTTATCCAGAGGTGAAATCGATGCAGCATGTCGTGTCACAATGCCCCTGACATTTTGGACGTTCGCTATAACCCACAACGCAGAGCACTTGGTGTGCAGCCGCGTGGGCCGGTGGGGGTGGTGGTGGTGGTGGGGGGGGGTGAAGACAGTCCAGGTGCTCCTACATCTGCTGCGATGTTGGCTCACATTAAAGAGGGACAGGGGGAATCCAACGCGTGAACTTGGCGCCTCCACAGTACGTGCGCCGTGTTTTGATTTTTTTTGACAATTTCCAACAATGTATAACTGCCCTCCGACCTCCCTCGTGCCAGAGAGTTGAGCGCGACCTTTCTGTGGTGAATTTTATGCTTGGGCAGCCCTCTGTTTTCACTCAGGTCACGACCGCACAGGGACACGTTGCTCAGTCCAACGCGTGGTTCTATCTATCTATTTATTTATTTGTTTGATATGATTATCGATGTATTTGTTTACAAACAGCCTAAGAGTCAATTGCATTGCTTTGAAGGTATCCTTCGGCTATTGGAATAGGAGAGGTGGCCGAGTGCCTTCGGGAACTCATGCCGTGCGGCAGCGTTGAGATAGCATGTTCGAGAACCTGGGTTTGCATCCAGGCAACTAAAACTATCATTTAAACGGGGTAGTTAAGTGAAGTGGTGACGTAGAGTCAAGCGATAGTCGCAGCCAAACCGCCAATTACCATACTGAAAAATGACGTGACTTTGAATTGGCTGTCACATAATCTGTCAGATTACAAATCTTTGGAGGAACACCTCCGTAACACGACATGCGAGGCGGTGCACCAGCAAGTGTGGATCGGACATCTGCACGGACCTAACACGTCATTCCGTGACGTCAACTTCTCCAGGCCGCTCTCTACCGCGATGAGTTGCACCACTTTTGTTCGGCCTTTTGAATGACATTATGTCGTCTGGTCGAACAGTTGAACTGGAATGTAATCGCATGTTTGCACAAGCATGCATGATGCTGTGCAGCACGTGGGCTTGCAGCCCAAAACTACACTGACTAAGCTCCAGTGATGGGCAGGGGGAATGATCCAACTTTCATTTGATCAAGGGGACTCTTTGAGGTTTGACTAGAATTTATAGATTGTTGAGACATTAAATGTGAGTGAGCATCTGTTAAGGCCAGCAGAGCATATTCTTGCTATGAGCACCAGGCATGTCCAATTGCCCCATGAACTTGAGTTATAGTAGTGTTGCCACCTGGACTGGTTTCCCAGAGCATAATTTTGCTTTCAGGTAGCAGATGTCCTGAGAAATCTGTAAGTCTTCCCGGCACATTAAAAGTGCAATATGTTGCAAGCTGTGTGATAATGCATCTTTCAAGACAATGCATTTCAATGTAGTTCCGCGCCTCCTCTGCTCTTGTGAGATTATCTTCGCTATACAACGTTCTGGTTTTTTGCACCTCAGGAGTGGCAACTCACGTCGCAAGACTTGTCGTTCGGTCAGCTAACGCGTACATTTTACATGTTTAACCCATATTTACGTCAATGCATTTAATAATTATTGTCTACATATGAAAGTCATTTTGCATGATCACTTATGCAAGAATAATTAAAAGGGTAATCATGCATACGCATATTCTTAGCTAGCTATATCAATGTTTTTCATATAGGACAGATATATTTTTTACAAAAGCATATTC